ACTCAAAATAGTGAAAACATCCTTTAAAAGATCCTGCTATCCCATTTTCCTATCCCGTCTCTGATCAACAATTGTGTATCTTACTCTGTACTAGGAATGGACATCATCACTTTCTCAGACTCATACAAAAGGTGAGACTGATAACAAGCAAGCTTCTCTGAAAACTTGCTGATTATACCCAGGGCAGAGAATAATCCCAAATAGCTATAAAGTTACAGATACAGACACCTGAAAGCTGCCCCACAAGGCTGATTTATAAGATGAAGAATCTGAGCAAGTAAATACACCTGGGGAGAAGGAAAGGTGATTAGGGGAAAAAAATCAACTCTGGGTTGGGGATATCGAGTTGAGTCATATATGACAGGGAGATGAGTTAAGTACATAAAGCAGTGGTGGATGGGATGGGCTAGTAGCAAGGGTACCAGTTTGCGGGAAGGAATTTGAAGACCTAGAAAGGGGATGAGTTACGGCAGAGTCAAAGAGCCTGCAAATTCGTATTTCAGTGATTCAACCCACAACTGAAAGAATCAATCTTTTGTTCAGCATTTTATGAGGGACACTGTTACATTTTTTTGCAAATATGGTAACTTATAAAGTTCCCAAGCCACACTCTTTCATAGGTTGGCCAGTTAGCTGAGTATACATAGAAACTCAGTTAAGTGTTGGTGATGCAAAAGATGGTGTACACCTCTGTTTAGGAATAAAATTATTTTAAACTTAAAAGGGGTTGACTTTTAGTTTATGACAGGTTTGAAAAGATTAATTTCAGACTAAAGTAAAGTGTAAAGTAAAAACAAATAAGAGTTCCCTAAAGCGGAGTCTGGCTTAAATGGAAGATTTAAGTAATAACTGACCTATAACCACTCAGCTCACAATAGCTAAAAGGTAATGTGTAACAAGTCTTCTTCAACTTACAACCTAACTAACTCCTAACTGGCAGAAACAAGGTCTATAGACACTTGTAATCACGTTTAGGAGAGAGTCAACTTTAATACAGGTCAAACCTTAAATTAACTTTTAAAGAGAAAAACTCTATGAAATCCAATGTATTTGGGTATTGGGTCACTTTAAGCAGTATACTCAATAATTAAAAACGTTTAAATTTAAAAGCTGACAAGAGTTTGATAGCAGCTTTGATGATAGTCGTCTCAAAGAAATAATATCATTGATATCAACTGTCTCATTCTACTCTTTGGCAATCATCAATACTGATATACCTTTTGGACACTCTGATGAGATGATTAAAACCTACTTACACAGTCCGAGAAGCAAAGGAATACAACCTGCTTACTGCTTGTTATGCAATACATTTCCAATGAATGTTCAAACACATCCCAGTAATTCTAAAATCTTACTAGATGCTGTAGAAACTGCTCCACCTATTCCAGGGAATTTTAATCCAAATCCTGAAGTTGTATCACCAAATACTCCAGCCAAAGTTGATGGGGCACCAACTGCAGAGAACAACATAATATTACCTATTACCCATTTAATCAAAAACAGTGAAGAATTTATATAGAATCTTTTTCATCTGAGGAGTCCTTTATTAAGTTTGGCTAAACATCAAAAAACTATGGTCAATTCATTTATATGAGAAGTCCAGAAAAGGCATAGGGACAGAAAAGAGATCAGCAGTTGTCTAGGGCTGAGAGCTCTTATTCAGACAATAGAAATGTTCTAAAACTGGGTTACAGTGATAGTTATACAATTCAGTAAACTTATTAAAAATTTAAAAATCACTAAATTATGTACTTAAAATAAGTTAATTTTATGATATGTAAATTATACATCATTAAAGCTAACGTAAAAATACAGTGGTCAAGATTTCTTTTCATTTTATGGGCAAGGACATCAAAGACAAGAAGGAAAAAAGCCTATCAAAGGCCAGAAGTCAAGTCTTTGAATGGAAAATAGAATTCATTCAATAATTTTAACTCCCAACTTCAGACATGGTCATATTCACAAAATTTATTATACCTGATAAGGATATTGCTTACATATATCAAAGGTTTCCAGAATCTCAGTCATGTCTCAAGATTAGAATCGTCTCTACTTGGAAGAAAATACAACTCAAGTGGTAACTTGCAATTTCAATTAATGGTCACCTATGTCAACTGCACAAGAGGATGGAGATGGTAGACCACTATTTTTCATGCTTGATGAAGCATCAGCAGTTCCTGGTAAGTTTTATTCCCAGCAATGGTGACAATCTTGCTATAACAAGGCTTGGCTGGGGAACCATATACAGCTAGGATTACGATAATAAAGTCTAACGATCAACATCATGGTACTGTGAAGATGTCTCAAAAGCACAGGCAGCTTACATGGACCTGTAAGAAAGAATTGCCTAAGATATATACAGAATTCAATATTCTCAACATTTGCTATTACTCTATTAATGGAAGATGTATAGCAAAAAAGTTGGGGTTACAAGATAATTAATGTCTCACTTCTCAGCTCAAAGCATCCAAATGTTCCTCTTCAAAGGGAAAGAACAGGAGACATCACACAGTGTCAATTAAAGCTCAAAACTACAGCTAGGCCTGAGGTCATGTAACACTTCTGATAGGTTAAATGTCAGGACCACAAACTTGGTCTATATAGAAGAAAATACAGGAAGGCTCCAACATTTATTTCCCATTTTATCTTATTCACATGGATAATAAGACTTCTTCTTCCCTTCAGAAATACTTGGCAAAACCCCCACTCTTCCTACTCCCATTAGCTTCAAGAAGTTGTTTCAAAACACTACAATGTTAATGAATTATATGCTTAAAATTATCACTTTAAGCTGTAATAATCATGTTAATATAAAATTCACAGCGAAAGCCATGACAATTAGGTTCTTAGGCAAAGCTACTATTGACATCAGCAGTTAAGATGGATTCAAACATAATGATAATTGATGAGATGTACGAGATCCATAGCTTATACTGGCAAATTGAGTTAAGTGGCCTGATGCGAAATAATAGTATTTTCTTTGCAACCAGTAACTTACATGAGAACCCAGTAGCAGCAGTGGAAGTAGAAGCATTTGAGAATGAGGTAAACAGCATGGCGCCTGAACTAGCAGTGGCAGCAAAAGTAGATGCTGAAGCCAAACCTAAAAATCAAAGTAACAAGCAGAAAAATACGTCACTAAAAATAATTTGTAAAAAGTAAAAGACCATTATGACAAAGTTCACTTATCTGGAGAAATAAAAACAAAGCAAGGAAAATCAAGTACCCAGATATTTAATAAATATGACACAGTAAAAGCATGATTTAAAAAATAGTTTATTAGCATTGCTTAGTACAGTCAGCCTTCCAGCACCATCATAAGAAAGAAATTCTACTTTACTAAAAACATAAGCAACATAAGAGAGGGATCCACTTTCAGAACTGTGACATGAGAAGTCTAGGGACTCATTCCCCAGTAAAACAACCATAACTGGGAAAAAAATTAATTGAAATCTCTGGAAATTGTTCTGAAGGTATACAGCAAATAAACATTTATATAAGGAAATCTGCTAAAACTCAGGAATACCAATGAGAGTCTGTGGCATATGAACCATAACCTACTCTCTTCCTTCCCTCCACCTCCTTGTTCACCTCGCAGGAAACTCCACTCCAGGCAGGAGAAGTCAAGAAGACTGGACTCTCCCTCTTCTTCCAGATCCCAGCCAAAGAATATAATATTTCATTGGGAGGGGCAAGCAGTCAGCATCTCTCATCACCTCCAACACACAGTTATAGGGATGAAATTTCTGGTGAGTACAGCCAAGAGTTGAGGGGCTCCTTTCCTCCAGTCAGCCCCCACTCACAGGGCAGAGGCTGTACACCACGTGTAGCAGGCTGAGAATACTGGGGCCCCATCAATCACCCTGATTGTTTTGCCCCAGCTCACTTGTAAGGCTGAGGTTACATGCCTGAAGAGATAAGCAGGAAGATCAGAGGCAACTGACATTGCCCAGTGCCCAAAGCACTGGTTCAAAGATTTGCTCAGGGATAAACGTAACCCATAAGAAAAGAGAGTTCCCAAGCTACGTCCAAAAGAACTGACTTTACTTGAAACAGAGTATGAGGAAGTTCAAGCCAAAGGACTCTCGAAAAAAAATGGAGATTTTGATGGTAAGCAATTAAGAGGAACTAAGTGGCTTCATGAAAGCAACAATTTAGACTGCAGGCCAGCTAGCCAGAGATAACCAGGGAAAGAGAAGACTGAAAAGAGCCCTCCTGAGGATCAGAAGAGTTAAGTACTGATACAAGCTACACTGTGGATGAATCTGGGTAATATTATGCTAAATGATAGAAGCCATATACAGAAGGCCATATCTTATATGGTTCCACTTAAATGAAATGTCCAGAACTGGCAGGCAAATCCATATACAGAAAGTCTATTAGTGGTTGCTAGGAGCTGGGACAAGGAGGTAATGGGGAGTGACTGCTAATGGCTACAGGGTTTCTTCTGAGGTGATGACAATGTTCTGGAATTACACAGTGGTGATAGTTGTACACTCTGTGAATATGTTTTTTTTAAAAAAACCTCACTGAATTGTATACTTTATAGGGTGAATTTTAAGATATGTGAATTATACTTCAATTATGCTGTTATTTAAAAAACACATGATCATCTCAATAAAAGCAGAAAAAGCATCTGAGACAATCCGACACCTTTTCATGATAAAAACACCCAACAAATTAGAAAGAGAAGGGAACTTCCTCAATACGATAAAGTGCATTTATGAAAAAACAACAGCTTACACCATGCTTAATTATGAAGGACTGAATACTTTCCAACTGCCATCAAAAACAAAACAAGGATGTCTGCTCTTACCACTTCAATTCAACAATACATTGGAAGTTTTAGCCAGGACAATTAAGCAAGAAAATGAATAAAGGACACCAGACTGAAGAGGAAGAAGTAAAATTATCTCTATTAAAACAGATGACATGATCACAAATACAGAAAATTCTAAGGAATCCATAAAAAAACTATTAAAACAATAAAAAAGTTCTGCAAAGTTGCAGGATACAAGATCAATATAAAAATAAATTGCAATTCTATATATTAGGAATGAACAATCCAAAAATGAAATTAAGAATATAATTCCATTTACGATTGTTAAAAATGAATACAATAGTTAAGAACAAACCTAATAAAAGAAGTGCAAGGCTTGTATCCAGAAAAATACAAACCATCATTGAAAGAAATCAAAGACTTCCTAAATAAATGGAAAGATCTCATGTTCATAGAACAGAAGATTTTATATTGTTAAGATGGTATGGTGGACAGAAAAAAATGGTCCCCAAAGATGGCCACATCCTAATAGCCAGAGGCTATGAATATATTACCTTACTTGACAAAAGAAACTTTACAGATGAGACTAAGGTTAAGTAACTTGATACAGGGAGATTATCCTGGATTATCCAGGTAAGCAAAATCTGAGGACATGAATCCTTAAAAGTAGAAATCCTTTCCAGGCTGTGATCAGAGGGAGATGGAGACCACAAAAAAAAAATGGTCAGAAAGATGGAAAGTTGTTGATACAAATGGCCATCTAACACTTGAAACTCAGTGTCATTAGTCATTAGGGAATTGCAAATCAAAACCACAATGAGATACTACTTCTTATCAACAAGAATGACTATAATCAAAAAGACAGATAATATCAAGTGTTGGTGAGGAGATGGAGAAACTGGAAATCTCATGCAATGCTGATGGGAATGTAAAATAGTATAATCTCTTTGGAAAACTGTAAGGCACTTCCCAAAAGTGTTAAACATAAAGTTACCATATAACCCTGCAATTCCACTCCTAGGCATAACAACAAAAGAAATGATAACATATCCATGCTAAAACATGTACATGAATGTTCACAGCAGCATTATTCATTGCAGACAAAAGATGGAAACAACCCAAATGAATATCAACTGATAAATGGATGAATAAAATGTGGTATATTAATACAATGGAATTTTTTGGCCATAAAAAGGAAAAGAAGTACTGATACATATTAAAACATAGATAAGCCTTTATGCAAAGTAAAAGAAGCTAATCACAAAAAAAATCACATATTGTAGAATTCTATTTATATGAAATGTCCAGAACAGAGAAATCTACAGAGACAGAAAGCAGATTTGTGGTTGCTAGATTTGGGGTGAGGAGAGAATGAGTAGTGACTGCTAATGGGTATGGACTTTCTTTGGTGGGTGCTGAAAATGTTCTAAAATTGACTTTGGTAATGGCTGCACAACTCTGTGAATATACTAAAAACCAATTAATTGTACACTTTAAATGGGTAAATGATATGGTATGTGAATTATACAATAATAAATCTGTGAGAAAAAATAAATAGAAGTCTGGAATAAAGTTTCAGATAACAGATTGCCTGGCCTCTTGCTTTAAATTGCAAAATAAAAACTATAAAAGAAATAAAGCTAGAGAAATTAAGTACATAAAGACACAAATAAGATTAATTGGTTAACTGAAAAGTTTACTTTTTTATCCTCATGATAGATCACTATAGACGACACATAGTAGTAAGTGCTCAATAAATGTTTCTGAATTGAACCAACATTTTCCAGACTCCAGTACATAATTATAGCTATTCTTTTTCCTTTTCAAATGGGAGAAGTGCTTAATAAGTAACTGCTTTTGAATCTACTGCTGCCTCCATCTACCTGTTGAACAATTCATGGCAATATATGATGTAAGACTCTGCTATCTAAAAACATCTAGGGTCACTGGGGGTGTAGGACATAGGGAGGAGATGCTGGGAAGGAATTGGGAACATTACCACATACCTCTATTTAAAATGTGTATTATGGAATATCCCTATATTTCATTTAGGAGAAGCACCACATGTATACTTTTAAAGAAATAACCAACTATAGCAAAGGTGTTTTAATATTTATAATTCAATACCTACCAGTGAGGCTAAATTTTTATCATGGGTTTAATGGTTACTTTAATTTCTTCATTCAAAATGGCCTATTCACGTTATCTGCCCATTTTCTCATTGGAGTATTGTCCCATCACTAATTTTTAATAAAAGTGCATATCAAGGCTGTGTAGCCAAATGTTGTAAATATTTCCCAACCCCAGTTTGACATTTCCTGCTTTTTATTTTGTTTTTATTTTTTATGTAGTCAAATCTTTCCATCATTTTCTCCCTTATGGTTTATGTCTCCATATTATGTTTCAAAATTCCCTCTGAAACATATAAAAGGTATTCAACTTCATTTTTAGGAGAAAATCACAAATTATAACTGCATTGAGAACAATTTCATCTAACAGATGGGAAGAAATAAAAAACTAGCAACACACTCTGTTAAGGACACTGTGAAATAATGGGTAGCCTCTGAGATTTCTAACAGGAGTACAAATTGGTATAACCCCTACAGAAAACAAGCGGCCAATGTTTTTAAAATTACAAATGCATCCTGTCTTTTCAACCAGCTTTGCTTCTTCTGGAAATGTATCTGCAAAGATGTACTTATACACCTGTAAAATGACACGTAAAATGATATCCATTGCACCACTGTATTAGCAAAAGAGGAAACAACCAATGCCCATTAGCAAGGAGCTAGATAAATAAATTATAGCACATCCAGACCATGGAATTCTATGATGCTATAAAAAATAGTGAGGAAACTCTCCATATACTGACTGATATGAAAGGAGCTACAAAATGTTTAAAATAAGGGTATAAAGTTTTAAGTTTAAAAGGCAAGATATAAAATAGTGTGTATACTACCATTTATATTTTTAAAAAGGTAGAGGGCTAATATATATATTTGCTAGCAAATCTATGAAGAAGCTCTGGAAGGATACATACAATTATAGTGGTTAGCTGAATGGCAGGGGTAGGGGTAGGAAGGAGTAATACAGGGTGGATAGGGGAGAGTATACCTATTTATACTGTTTTATAGTCTTGTTTTCAAACCATTTGACTGACTATAATTATATATTTTTAAATTATACTTAAATGGTCCTCTCCCCAACCCAAGGAATATTATGTACCTATTTTCATATTCACCTGTGCTCTTTAAATGCTTATAGTTTTGTTTTCTACCTTTAATTCACCTAGTATTCCTTTCAGTTAATCTTTTTCAGCAAAA